CTTCTTGTTGTTACTTAATAGTTGCTCCCCTTAACTTCACTGGCCAGGCAAGTTAGATGGGGGAGGGATGGAGCCGGGCTTCTGTCAATCCGGATAGATGTTCTGATGCTGACAAGACAAGACCCGGGATCCTCTGCAAGACACCTCACATTTATAGCAGCTTCCCTCTCATGCAAATCTATACCAGATTCAAAGTCTGTGTCAGCTGGTTGTCTGTGGCACCTCCTTCTGGGTGTTGTCTTAATGCTGCCACATTTATTTTCAAAGAGGGTATTTTCAAAAGAAGATGCTCGCTTCTAACTCCCAAGGCCATCAATATGTCTGATCTTCTTTAATGAGCCCACTTGACAAGTTTTATTGTTCTTGAGTCTGGCTTCCATCCCCTCACCTCCAGACAGCTGCAACACTTGGAGCCTGCCTTCCAAGTCTTGCTCATTCACACCTCATTCATTCAACAGGGCACTTGATTAAAAGGTGGGGGAAGATCTTATTCTACTCCTAGCAAAAAGTCATTTTTCTTCTACCTTAACTATCTTTAGGGCCTATAACATTATACCGAGGCTTAATACAAAGTTTCTATATAAGGATTTGATACAAAGTTCCCATATCAAAGTACTTGACATAAAGTTGCATGAAAACAGAGGTCACACATGGATAGACCCACTGCAAGGTTATATGAAGAGTCATAATACAAAGTCATCTGAAAGTTATGCAAAGAGGCTTAATGCAGAGATTTATCTACACAGCTGCAAGATCACATCAGGTTTGGAAACGGGAAACCCTACTGCAGGCAAAGAAAACAAGGGAAATCAGTGGGATACTTGTCACAAAGAATATTCCATGGTTTTAACCCCAGCTCATTTTTAAGCAGTAACATCCCAAGATCAGCTTCCTTGGCTCAAAGTGGCAGGAGAGTTGTTGTTATTGTAAATCATATTCATTACCTTAGTGCCTAAGGACCAACTAACAGTGGGTCCCCATTGTGCTAGGCAAATTACAAACCCAGAATAGTAATGGCCCATGCCCTGAAGAATTTACAATCTAAATGGACAAGACAGACACAGAATGGGGGAAGGGGTAGAACCCATTCTTAGAATATAGATATATTCAGGTCTGCCTGTAAAGCCTATGCTTTAAGAACTTAGGTGTATTTTTATCACTTAGCTAGTTACAGGGGTATAAAAACAAAGAATCAAAATCACAGTCCGCCTGTGTCTGGGCCTTGTCTCACTAGGATAGTCTGAGGCCTTGTTCTTAGGCTAAGGCCTTTGGCTAAGCAGCAGGGGCAGCCGTCAGCTGGGAAGTGAACGGTCACATCCTCACCTCCCAAACCAATCACACTGAAATAAGGTGGTATTGGGCTGTTAGGAAGACGATCCTGTCCTGGTAGTGCCCATCACCACCAGATAAAGAAACAGATCTTAAGATGGTTAAAGAAAACTTAGTTTGATAGCATCCTGTCTGGCAAGAAATCACTTCTCAATGGTTGTGAAACCCTCATTTCTGTATTGTTTTGACTTCATGGCCCCCACTTTTCTATTGCTAATCTGTCTGGTTCTCTAACTGTTTCTGTCTGCTGTATAACTTACACCTAGCAACATTAATTAATTAGGGAGTGGGATATAATTGGTTAGAGAATTATGTTACAATATGTTAGGATTGGTTAGTTAAATTTCAGTACAATGATTGGTTAAGGTATAGCTGAGAATATTACTATATAAACTGGAAGGGGAAGGGAAATTGGAATCATGTTTGTTAATTGGGAGAACGGGGAACAGGGACACAGGCAAGGCTCTGCAGCATCAGAGCTGGGAAGAGGGACATGGGTAAATGCTTTGTGGTGTCAGAGCTGGGAAGGAAACACTGGGGAACAGACTCTATCGCATATAGAGATAAGCCCGACTGGTGTGAAAGGCTTCGGAATATGCTTGCTTGGAAACTAACCCCAATAAACATTGCATTGTCTGCGCTTCAGACTTCTGGTCTTTTGCTGCTTGCTGTCTGTGTGACAAGAACTAGGGAAGTAGGAGGCCCTCTAACAAAATGGACATGACCTGATAACTAAGAAGTAAGCCTTTAAGGAAGGTTTTAATACACTTTGGGACTAATCAGGGATTCCCATGAGGATTGATGAGGAGGCCATGGAAAATACGTATTTAGATCCTTTTCTTTGAGGCACACTGTCATGAATCCATAGGATCTGTGCAATGCCTGGGCTTTTAAACAGTCCTTGGGAAGTCTCTGGCTTCAACAATCCTATTTCAATCTGTGAGCTCTGCCAGCAGGTCCAGCTGAACAACACTCCTGTTCAGAGACGGTTCCTCATTCAATGCACAGAGCAAGTTTTTGCTGTGACACTGGGCAGACTGTTAAAATATAGCAGGGTTTATTAGTCAACTGAAACACAGCCTTGTAAAGTCCTTAGATTAGCACAGGGAAGCAAAAAAGACAATATAGTCCATACTAGCCAATTGCCTTGAGCTATGATGCTGTAGAAAATAGTTAGTTTCCTTTTACTGTGCCATTTGTCTTCACTCTGGTAGAGCTCCCTGCATCTGCAAGCCCAGTTCTTCCTCTCCCAAAAACATAATGAGTCCATGTATGCTTCACTCACCCAAGCTGAGATACACAGGTGACAATTATTCCCTTGTCTCTGTCGGGTAGTCCATTGATGTAGGTTGGTCCCAGCCAGTCGTTAATGACACATTCATATCACCCCATAACAGCTATGTGACAAAACACCTCATGTCTCCTGCTCTTTATAATCATAGCAATACCAATCACAGAGGGAAACTGAGGTGGCATCATACAAGTATCACCAAAATTCCCAGCTCTACCACACACACACACTGCTCACAGCCCTTGGAGAGAAAGCAAAGCACAGGAACTGGACGTTAGTCCAGTGAAGACAGTGGAGGACAAGCTGCAATCCTCAAACCCTGGTAAAAAAGGAGAGGCATGTGGGTCCCTACCCATAGAGAGGGGCTGGCTAGAGGCCTGATACTGGAGAGGGAATTCCTTGAGCAGACCATGGAGGCAGGTCAAAGGCTAATCCAGAACTGTGACATCGCAAAAGCACATTTAGGGGAATTAGGAAATCTAGTGACTCAGGTGTAATGGGAGGGAGAATTAAACTCCCCCAGTGTGTGGAGAAGGCTGGGGGATTAAACACTAAAATTCAGGAGCAACAGCCTCTAATTCTTCTGAAAAGAAGGAAGTTTGGGGTGGTCTTTAGCAATTAGGTTGCTATGCAGTATCTCAGCAGTTGGACGCATTCATAGATTGGAATTATTAATAAATGAGTAATGCTTCATGCTTAATTATGGATGTCCCAAAGGCCACGTATGGGCTGGGGTAGCTATTGACATTCTTGTAATCAGAGTAAAGGAGCAGATATGGTATATAGCCATCCTATTACCATAAGGAAGTGGATAAAATACCTCTCCTAGGCCTGGTCCACACTAACCCCCCATTTCGAACTAAGGTACGCAAATTCAGCTACGTTATTAATGTAGCTGAATTCGAAGTACCTTAATTCGAACTTACCACGGGTCCAGACATGGCAGGCAGGCTCCCCCGTCGATGCCGCATACTCCTCTCGCCGAGCTGGAGTACCCGCGTCGACGGCGAGCACTTCCGGGATTGATCCGGGATCGATTTATCGCATCTAGACAAGATGCGATAAAACGATCCCAGAAGATCGATTGCTTACCGCCGGACCCGGAGGTAAGTGTAGACCTACCCCTAGTTACCATTTTTTCATTTTGTCGGGTCCCCGAGACAGTGTAAAGTGAAGCAGGAGTCCCTTGCCCTTCGATCTTTGTTTCCAATGGTGTCCATAACTTGCAAGTATGCACAGTGGAAGATCCTCTTTACTATACGTATCTTAGTCTAATCCTTATGTGTAAATTAAATCAAATTTCTGTGTGTTTCACCAAAGTTCATCTTCTCAATTAACTTTGGGTAGCCATGTACAAGGGCAGGTTGTACCCCAATATGTAATCTTATAGGTGTAAAAATAGTACAGACTACACTACCACCCTGTGACCTCATCAACAAAATGCCCTTTTGTGCCTGGGTAGTGGCCCTGCTATGGGAGGGAGGAATGCAGCAAGGACTCAGGATTGGTGGTCATGGATGCTGTGCATAGAGATGGGGAGGTTATATGGGGAGGGGGGTAATGAGTGGGAGAGGGAGGTCAAGAGTTAAAATAATAATGTTTTGGGGAAAATGTATAATGAAGTGGAACGGAGCAGAAATAAACCTGGAGTGTAGCTCAAAAGCAACAAGGCTTGGGTAGGGATTTGGGGTTAAAGGTCTGGGATCCCCCACAGCTCTAGATCCCCAAATCTCTCCTCCTTCCCACTGACCCACCCAGCCCACTTCCTGGGTGCCCTTCCTCCACACTCCCCTCCCCTTCTTCCCATTACTCTCAGCCATCACCACCTCCCAGCATCTCGGTAGCTTCTTGTGTTCCCTCCTCCTCTCTCACTACCTCCTCCCTCCCTGCTGCTTCTTGGATCTAAATCTGCACACACCCTTCCCATGTCCTGGCACTCCAGAATTAGCTACTCCCCCATTCTCCTGCCTTCCCATGGCTCCGTTCTCCATTCTCCCGTGGGCTCCTGAATGGCAACATTATATGCTCTCCTATTAAAAGAGGAGCTCATCTGACTGTCACACAACTCATGCATGAGTCATACACCTATTTACTCAATTTAGAATTCCACAACAGGCATATTTTCCTTTCAAAATGAGGAAAAGGCTTGAAAGCTACCATTATTAATGTAGTTATTAATGTATCCTATAAGGATACATTAAATGCAATTTTAAAATTGACAGCACCAAAAATTATTCTAGTGGGTGGCAGATAAGGCAAAAAAATGGGTGCAAGGAAACTTGTCAACACTTGTATGATGAATAAAAGTATAAAGTTATTACTATTCAGGTTCTTTAGAGATCCCACAGCTTCTAATAACTGAGGGGACAGGACTCCTTACCCAGCAAGATCACCGTCTCATAGTTCTCCTCCATGATGTCTCTGTACAGGGCTCTCTGAGTGGGGTCCAACAGAGCCCCCTCTTCCCTGGCGAAATACCCAGCCACCTCCTCAAAGATCATCGGCCCCTGAAAGAGCAAGAGTCCAACACTCAATACCTGCTGCCCCAGTCACAACCCCACCGTTAAAGGGGGAAAGGAGCCAATCAAATGAAAGCTCTGGGTGGCTCACAGTCAGGAGTCCCACCCCCACCCCGCTCAGAGCATCCAGGAAACGTTAGTGTGAGGGGAAAAAAAGAGAGCCCCTTGTCTCTCCAGCAGATCCATCACACCCCTACTAGCCACAGACTGATACAGGAGATGGAGCCCCTAGCAGGGTGGAGGGAGAGCTCCCTGGTAGAAAGCCTAACACTGTTCTCATTGTGAAGAGCTGGACAGGGCCAGACTTAGTGGTGGGCAGACTACATGACTGTCCAGGGGGGCCTTGCTGAGGGGGTTCCTCTAGCAGGGGTGTCCTGTCTCTCCTCTCCCCACTTCTCTTCAGCTGTCTGCCACCGCAACTGTTCCTGCAGCCCTGCCCCTCCCCCGACTTGGAGCTGCCTCTGGCCAAGCTGCTCTCAGGAGCCTTGTGTGTGTGCAGGGGGGGGGGGGGTTTGGCTGATGTTGGGGTGGCCCCACCCTCCTCCCTCTGTGCCCAGTCTCTGCTGAGCTGAGGTGGGGGGACAAGATTCTCTGCTGCTGCCTCTGGGTCAGGAGTGGGAGCTGCTGGCCACTGCTGGTGTGTGAATGAGCCTTCAGACTAGTGAGTGCTGCTCTGCATATAGTGACAGCGTGCTGTGTCTCACACTCCCCCAACACACATGCACACACACTCATCGCACAATAGACACTTCAATTACTGTTGTTATTACTTCTTTTTACTTCCTGTCAAAATGTGCAAAGTACATATATTCTCTGTAATTTTATCCTTTCACATTCATTAAGGATTACAGTGCTGTTATTTTAGCTTTTTAACTGGTCTGTTCATTTCATAATTTTATATCTGACTTATGCTTAAATTCAATTCTTTGAGTAATGAGTTCTAAAATGCCTAACCTGGCCTGGCTGGAGTAATTATCATTATTACTGTCATTGCCATATTGTGCTTTGTCATTCAATATTTAAAATGGTACTATCAAATAATAGAATGTCAATTTTGCTTGCACTTACCTCAGCAAACAGGGCTCATTTAAAAAAAATTAGCTAAACTCAAAACTGTAGACACTCTGCAGATGCAGATCACTTATCTTCAAATTGTATTTTTAGTTTGTGAGGAAGTAGCGAGTGGGGAGGATTGACCTGGGGATGTTGCGGGGGAGTTTTACTGGTACTGTCTGCATTGGTGATGGGATATCAGGGTGTAACTTCACTTGAGGGAGGATAGCTGAGCATGTAACCTGAGCCCAGGAGGGGATGGGGCAGGTGACACCTTCTGCCCGGGAAACGGGACAAAGGCTGGAGAAGGAGCCGGGGTGTGTGGCTGGAGGAGGTTTTTCAGTTTGGAGCTGTCTGGGAAATGGAGGGAGGCCAGAACCAGGTCTGGCTCCCTATCCCCCCAAGATGGACCTGATCAAGGGGTCCTGTTGTCTGTACCTATAAGCTCTGTTTTGGACTGTGCTCCTGTCGTCTAATAAACCTTCTGTTTTACTGGCTGGCTGAGAGTCACAGTGAATCGCGGGAAGTGGGGGAGGTGTAGGGCCCTGTCTCCCCCAAACTTCATGATACAGTTATATCTGGAAAGTAACTTACAATTTCTATGAAAATAAAGGCAGTTCCAAGTACGATACGAATAGCAATGATGGAGTCAAACGTTAGTGAGTCACATACATGATTGTGATCAGTAAACATAAATGCCAAAATAACTAGAAAAATAAATTCCCGTTCTTAATAAAAGAGAAAAAAACATAATCACGTATATTAAATTAAGTAAATATGTTTTTAGTGGAGTGAAAAACAACTGACTAAAATAGAGGAGATAATGGCAGTAACACAGAGTGTGTCTGTTAAGTAAAATCTGCTTACTTTCTCTAGTTTTATTTCTCTCTACTAAAGACAGGGTGCAAAGTATCAAACTTGTGTTTCTGATACCTGCATCAAAGCTCCAGAACTGATACCTCAAGGCTTGGGACAGGGAATATCTTGCTGTATTATCTCCTGATTGTTTTAAATTTACTTTTAAATTTAATATGTGGCTGTAATTGGAGTCAGTATAGATTTATCTTTCTTTATATAACAATTAGATACAGTGCTCCTGTCAGCAAATTTCTAAGTTATTTTCTGCAAAAAACCCTACAGTTTTCAGGTGCCTCAGTAGCCCCTGGAATCACAGTTAAAGTTGCCCCCCTCCCCAAAATCTGAAATGGCCCCTGGTGAGCCAGGAGCCGCCACAGGGCTGCAGGATATCTGGGGCTCCAGCAAGATGCAGCCCTCGTGTGAGAACGCAAAGCCCATTTTGAGTTGCAGGCAGAATGCCGGGCACCACGAGACACAGCAGCAGTGTAGAAGTAAGGGTGGGAATGGCAGCCAATGATTTTAGTTTACCGTTCGTTCATTCATTGTGTGGTGTTATAATTAACTGACACATTATGTCATATAGAATCATTGTATGCTAAATAAAGAATAGATTGATCGGTATGTAGCGAGAATAATCATGTATTAGGTATCTAAGTAAATAGGGTTGAAAACAAGGCCTGTAGGCTGAGACCTGCAAGGTTTTAGCTTAGCTATTTTAGGCCTTGGAGCTAAGAAATGCTGACATAAGTAAATGACCGAGAAATAACCTGATGCCCTAAGATTATGGAAAAAGAGGTACCAAGTGGTAACAGGGTGAAAAATTAGTCGGAAGATTAATTTTAAATAAAAAAAATCTGTAAAGGAGCCTCTGTTTCCAAATGTGCCTTAACCACAGGATACAGGTTGTGCATCAATGCTAATGAGGTAAAATCAGAATCACATTATAAAAAGGGGGTGCCCAGAGCAGGAAAATTGAGCTCCCTATGGGAAATTCCAGCAGGAACCATCCCTCTACTGATGATCAATCCATGAGAGACACAGCAGACCCTAATACTATTGTTCAGGATGGGAGTAGAACTATAGTTGTAACTTTTGCATAGGACTTTATAGAATTTCTATATGCTTGGGTATTCATAACCTTAATTGTAACTTTAATAAAACTTGTAAAACAGACTAGACCTTGTACTTGTGAATGTCTGTGTGGTCACTACCCTTAATCGTTATGTGTTCCTAGAGACTATACATTTGAAGCAAGTAGCAGAGGGGACTTTCACTCTGTCAAGCCTGAAAGTGTAGCCACCAGAGCCGAACCCACGGTGGTGTAATGCCACATTACAAAATGCACTTTAAATAAAATAAAAGGCTACACAATACACCATATACCATGCCACCATTATTTCTGCGCTGCTGCTGGCAGTGGCATTGCCTTCAGAGCTGTGCGCTCGGCCAGCAGCCGCTCCTATGAGGCCGCCCTGCCAGTGCTTAATTTGTGCCAAGCCTGAGCTCCGGCACTTCTTTCAATACAAATTAAGCACTAGAGGGAAGCATTGGGGTCTGGACATGATGGTGGGGAGCCCGTGAGGGCCAGAGGTGATGGGGGACACCAAAATACAAGTTCACCCAAGGCACCATTTTCTCTAAGGCCAGCCCTGGATCTGAATATGGAAGAGGGGCATATTCCCTAAGGCAGTGGTTCTCAACTAGGTGTCCCTGGACCTCTGAGGGGCTGCAAGCAGGTTTCAGGGGGTCCTCCAAGTAGGGCCAGTGTTAGACTCGCTTGGGCCCAGGGCAGAAAACTCAAACCTCACTGCCTGGGGCTGAAGCCTGGGGCCATGAGCCCTGCCACCAGTGGCTGAAGCCAAAGCTTGAACCATTAGCTTTGCGAGGGGCCCTGTCACATTGGGCCCAGGCAATTGTCCTGGTTGCCACCCCCTAACACCAACCCTGGCTTTTATATGCAGAAAACCCATGCATATGCAGGGCCATTGAGTTTTTATAGCACGTTGAGGGTCCTTAGAAAGAAAAAGGTTAAGAACCCTCCCTAAGCCTCACTGGTGGGTGCCCCCTCTATATCTCATAGCAGCCGCTGGTTAATCAGGTCAGGCTCCAGCACTGGGATTCTGGTCCATTTTCCTAGCCCCACCTAGGTGGGTTGTTTCCTGTTCCACAAATTAGGGCATTTCCACCTTCTAACATCATGGGTCTCTTCCTAGAATGTAAGCCTCATATATTAAACAAGTCACAACATGTTTGCTACACCCTGGCCTCCTCCCATTCTCTACCCTGTGAATTTTTTGGCATACTCCAACCTCCAAACCAGACTGCCCAAACCTCCGACCTCCACTGTATTTGCTGTCCATCTCCCTCCAGCAGGAACCCACCAGTAATCCCCCGATAATCCCTACCTGAACTGGCTCAACTGCAGCCATTTCCCTTTCCTGTCCCATGAGAGGATGGGATGAGGTGGAGCAAAACATGGACGTCATCCTGCAGCCTGGCAGGGCGAGAAGGGCAGTTGTGGAGGTTTCAGAACAGGCTTTAGTTAATTTCACATCACGATTCCCTCAGGATCTTTCCCTGCAGAGACACATCCTAGAGTCTGCCATGCTGGGAAAATGCTTGATCTCTTTATTACAGTGTAGACCTGGCCCCTCCTGCCAGGCTAAGCCCACAGAGAGATTTTTCAGCCTCCACAGTCAGGGCCGGCTCTAGGATTTTTGCCGCCCAAAGCAAAAACAATTTTGGCCGCCCCACCCCCCGTTCTTTAATTACCCCACCCCCGGCCCCGCCTCAACTCCGCCCCTTCCCCAAATCCCCAGCCCTGCCTCCTCCCCCCAGGCTCTCAAGCCCAGGAGGGAGGGGAAGAAGCGGCGCCCGCGCCGCGGCCACTTGGAGTCTCCCCCTCCCTCCCAGGTTTGAGAGCCTGGGAGGGAGGGCGAGTAGCGGCACGCGAATCAGCTGTTTCACGCGCCGTGGCAGCAGCAGCGGAGGTGAGCTAGGGCGGCCGGGGCACATTTTTAGGGGCGGCATTCTGGTGCCGGCCATGCCGCCCCTAAAAATGTGCCGCCCCAAGCACCAGCTTGTTTTGCTGGTGCCTAGAGCCGGCCCTGTCCCCAGTAATAAAGTCTCTGAACAAAATGCTAGAAAGGAACAGAACCAAAGGAGCTGGGCAGGCTCCATAGGGACACTGGCTCCCCCTTTCCCTTCTGTTCAGCCATGCCCTGTTTCTGGCAGAGAACGGCCACTCGATCTCCACCCCAGAGGCAGCCATGTCTGTGGGCTCCCCCAAACAGCACCTACTAACTACCACCCACTTTGGGGGAATGACACAGGACAGCAAATTCCCACCTAAACAAGGACAAATTGCTTCAGATAAAATGGGTTGGGTTAACATCCCAGATCTGAGGAGAATTTAAATGGCAATTTGAGAATTACAAAGAAAATAGGGCAAAATAAGAGAATAGAGTCAATTTTAGGGAAAACGAGGGAATCTCCTTGGATTTTATAGCCATATGGGGTAAGGGGAGAGAAAAGGGAAAGAACTAGAGAGAATTGTTTCAGTATTTGAGAGGGAAGTGGCACAAACAGTAAAAGGATGCAAGTATCTCACCCCCCGACTCACACACACTTCTCCCCCTGGACTTTCCTGGCTGCACAGAGCACATTCAATCCCCCACGTGTCCCACTGCCCTTCCCCTCCCTGCAACTCCGGCTTCTCCCCTCCTTTCCCTTCCCGGGCCCCATTCTCTGTCCCCACCTGAATCTCAGCTGTGTCTGGGGCAGATCCTGGCTGCAGCGGAGAACAGCAGCTCCGCTATCGCTCAGGCAGGTCCAGCGCTGCTGGCAGCACATGTACAACCAGGGAGCAGATCCCCGGAGGCTGCAACAGCTGCGGATCCCTTGGGCAGAGAGTCACTTTCCTGCCCCTCCCCCGCACTTCCCCCGGGGTCTCTCACCTGGAGTCTCTGGCGCCGGAGCTGATGGTGACAGAGTCCGGGGCTCTAGGAGGCTGGTTCCCCTGGAGAACGTCCCAGCTCGCCCGGCGTGGCAGGGAAGGAGCTTTAATGACGAGATCTCCCCCGCACAGACCCCGGGGAGCAGCAGCTGATCAGCCCGGGCTCCCGGATCATACGGAGGCAGCAGCAGCGTCTGGTCCGTGCCAGAGCCCCGCCCCCAGGAGCTACTCCGCCCCCGGTCTGTGCCAGAGCCCCGCCCCCAGGAGCTGCCCCGCCCCCGGTCTGTGCCCAGAGCCCCGCCCCCAGGAGCTGCTCCGCCCCCGGTCTGTGCCAGAGCCCCGCCCCCAGGAGCTGCCCCGCATCCGGTCTCTGGGTTTGGTTCTCCCGGCTCCTGCCTCCTTCTTCCCAGCACCCACAACTCCCAGCTGCTCCCTTCCTGTGTCTTGCAAATACCACCCCGTGGCGGGATGCAGCGCTTGCTGGGGCTGTCTCCAGTGGCTGAAGTTGCCTGCATCTCTGCCCACCTGGGCGGTGGGGACAGGAGATGGGCCCAGGGTTTGCAAGCAAAATTAGGGGGCAGGGAAAGAAGGACTGCTTGGATGGGGGCGAGGGGGGGAGGTTACCAGAGGGAGTCAGAAGAAGTTGGGCAGCAGAGGCTCAGGGGAATCCCTGGGTGTCCCAGTGTTGGCCAGGATTTGTACAGCACCTAGCGCAATCTGAGGTCCAATCTCAGTCATGGTCTGTGCAGAACCTGGGAGCCCCAATCTCTGTTTCCTGATCACAGGCACTGGAATGGAAAGAGGGAAAACCTCAGCACCTGAAGGGTTAATGCAGCCCTGTGTACAATCCCCGTTGGGTGGCGCTGCTGGTCTCATGAGGGGTTGGCTTGGAGAGCTGCAGTAATAACAGTCCCATATGGTCTAGTGCCCAGAATTTCTGGTTTTCACCCAGGTAGCCTGGGTTCAATTCCCAGTGTGGGAATAGTGTAGAGCTTTTGCTTAGAAGGGAGGCAGGAAATGAAAGGAACGGGGAGGGATCCTGCCAGCAGGGGAGTTGGACAGTGTTAGGAGGGGATCCCAGAAGTGGGAGTGGGGGGCAGTGGTCTGGGGGGAGATAAGGGAAGGATCCCAGTAGCGTGGGAAGTGGGCAGTATGGAGAGCATGGGACTGGGAAGAGTGAATGTGTCCCTCTAAACTCATCAACTGCAGACTAGGCAGGCTTGGAAGAATTATGCATTTGTTGGTAAATGTCAATTTCTATGTAAACATACAACCCAATGGCAAAATATTTCCATCGATAATAATCAAAATTGACAGATGGGGAAAGTAAGAAACATGCTGCTTGAGAACTTATCCTATTCTAATCCTACAGTGTTCCCTGATACTTTCGGTGCCACCATGTGGGCATTTCATATCCCTCCTCATTTTCATACAGAGAAACAATTTCATTTGCACGGATCCATGAACAGCAAAATCTTCCTGTGTCTCTAGTCTGAGCCAGGGCACTCAATTCAATTGAGACCTTCTCTCCTGCAATGGCAATGCTCAGTCATAGGGGATGGGGCCACCTTCCCCCCTGGCAGTGAGATATTCACTCTCCTCTTTCTTCATACTGCTGTTATTATTCCATGAATCATCAAGGATGGAATAAAAAGCTGAGTTTACTCCACAGTGAGGAAAGAAAGGAGCCACCAACTCCCTGAAAAATCTCAGTGCCCCAGAGAAAACCTGCCCCTCATATTGGAATCACTGATGTGCTGGCGATATGATGGGTAAACTGGCTGTCTGAATTGTCCAGGCAGGGAATGAACAATCTACAGCAACATCATCAACCAGAAACACACTCCAGTCATGCTCCAGCCAGAAGGGAAATGGGCAGGAATTCTTGCTGTTCAGTCATGGACACACTTACAGAACTGCACAACCAGATCAGCTACAACATCACCGGCTCATTCACCTGCACGTCCACCAATGTTATATATGCCATCATATGCCAGCAATGCCCCTCTGCTATGTACATTGGCCAAACTGGACAGTCACTACACAAGAGGATAAATGGACACAAGTCAGATATCAGGAATGGCAATATACAAAAACCTGTAGGAGAA